AGTCGATGTGTTCCGGTTATCTATGACGACTAGTGGTTGACCAGGGTCACGCAATGGCCTCGGATACGTCATCCATACGAAATCACGCGCGAATGGCAAGGTAGCAAACAAAACTAGTTCCAGGTGGTTGGTGTTTTGGCTGAAGAATACCCTACAAAGCAACAATCCTGGCACTCTATAAGGGAAAATGCCGGTAGCTCAGGTAGCGTAGATCGTGGTCGTTGGCTTGTTCGCTGAGCTGGGCGATTTGATTGCGAATTGCCCAGCTCAGCGAACAAGCCAACGACCACCAATCCTGGCACTGAATGGTAAAGCAAAGCGAGTGGCACGGAGTTCTTGAGTAGAATGCGAAAACCCACTGCCATTAACCACGTGAAGGTGATAGAAAAAACAGATGCATATCGTTCGCCAACGAATGACCGGTATCACGTTGAACGATTTCAGTGTCACTATTCGAAAAATTGCCCAATCCAAAAAACAGAACTTCAAACAAACACGTTTATTGGGATCGGATGTATCGAATATAATCCGCCACTGGCTTCGGCATGTAAACCCGTAGTTCCGCTCCCTTTGGAATCCGGGAAAGCATTTCTAGAAGCGAATTCAAACCACAATTTGAATAGCGCTCAGAAAATCTGTCAAATTTTCAAAAGTGTGCCACTGCAACCGTTGCAACTGATGTGGACTAACGAACCTGGATAGTCAGCGTTTCTGCATGACCTTGTAGTGTATAACGTTTAGCGCTACATTGCTGGGGAGTTCTCTGCGTACTTCTTTTGAATTTTTTACGAAACCTTTGTTAGGGACGCGTTACCCGATAACCCTACTAGTGCGTCTAATCGAAAAATGTATCGAACCGAAGAGTGGCTTCAATGACATCGTAGCTACGCTACCTATACAGTTGTCTGTGCCCAGTTACCCAGTACAAGATAGAAAGGGCTCATCTTGGGCACCTGACGCTGTCTCAAGTGTCATCAGGCCAGTTGTGGCTACGACTACAACAGCTTTGTTTTGCGGCATACACGCATCGATCGTGTCGCCTAACCAGCAAAGTGGGCGATGTCGTCGAGCACTTCCCGGGCTTCTTAAGCGGCACGAGGATATCCTGAGATCCAGAGGACAATTGATATGACAATCGATATGACTGAGAACTGCCAATATATTCAGGTTCATACAAATGATCGATAAAAATACAGAAATGCCGCCTACACCATATTGCACGTTTTCAGGCCCATCACTGGAATAGCGCTGTTGCCATCAGCAAGTGTCCTAGTGAGAACATCATTGACTTAAAAGCAAGTGTTCTTGTTAGATACAACGGCTGAGCAAACCTGACGCTTTCCCTACAATCAAACCGGAACCGATAGATCTTGAGTTCGAAGTATATCGATAACAAGTATTTCTTGCAAACTGACCCTTTCATTTTTCCCACAGAATTTTATGGGTTTCGTCCCAGGGGCTATAAACTTCAGTGGAGCTACAACCCGCCTGTTGGCCGGCTAGACATATCAGTTGTTTTGACAAAAGTGGACCCGATCGTGGTCATACATTCACCCGATACACAATGACCGAATAGTGACAAAAGCCCAAAGCCCCACCAGTCTTAGTCGCTACAGTCCATGAATTTAATCCAAAATCCTTTGTTTTAAAGGAACTGAGTGATGGCGGAATTCGGGCGTTTCAATAACCTGAAGTCTATCCTTAGGTAAAACAATCCGCCCATTTATTGATTGCTTATTTCCGGTAAAACGAGTACCAGCAGCACCAAGTTTTGTTCACAATAATAATCAATAAGAAAACATACACCCAAGAGGAACCAACAACTGAAGCGTCCTGAACCGGGAGATCAACGACCCAACCCAAATCAAAACGATTTTAATTCCGCCAACCAGTCCTATAAGCGGTGGTGTTCGACCAGAATGTCCACTCTCTCCATTTTTGGCTTAATTTCCTTATTGATGATGTAATGGGGCGAACCCTGGAAGGTCTCCAAAACCCCGGTGTTCAAATCTTTCAGAGTGAGAACCCTGGAGATTTTTCAAATTCGCAATGGCGTGATCAACAGGCTGTTTTTTGGTGAGACAGAGTTCTTTCCTTAAGGAACGCACCCAGTACTGCCAGCTAAGGTGGCTGGGCCATGTACTACGCATGCCCAGTCACCGCTTGCTGAAATGAGCGCTGTTTTCCGTGCCCAGTTCGGAGGGGCACGAACCTAGAGGTGGACAAAAGTTGACAAAGCAGAAGGGGATGAATGATGTTACAAAAATTTTGGGTGACATTGGTGCTGGTCTCCTTCCAGGATGGAATTCATACGACTATCGATGTGCTTGTTTAGGGACACTGATGGATGTGGAGTCTAACCGATGTCAGTGGCTTACATGCTGTCAGTTTACATCTAGGTTGTCTGAGCCGGGCATCCATATTGATCAAGAAGACCTAGTGTGCCAGACGGAAGAGGACCTATTTATTAGTGCTCAGGCTTCATTGGAACACAATCAACCTAGTAATTTACTTATTAAGTCTTCGTGTCAAATACAAAGTGCTACCCAGATAAGAATACACCAACTGTTCGCCAAACATTGTTTTTCAGGTGTAGATACATCTAATAAAATAAGCAGGGAAAGTAAAACCACTGACGGTTTCTTGAGGAACCTCTAGTTCTTCGAGAGGCCACATAAGTGTGTGCAGCTGTTGGGACCTTCAAGGTGACAGGATACCTCTCTGTACCTTGATAATCCCCTCCGAGAATAACTCCGAATACCCAACAAGTAAGTTGGGTTCATGAATCACGGAGTTGCAGAAGCAGAATAAGAGATGAAATACAGGAGCTGCTGTAGACTATTTCAGGCAGTGCCGATTCCGAAGTTTTACATTTGTAACGAAAAAATGCAGTCGATCTAGAGATGAGGGTACGAATTACGCATGAACTCTGTGCAGCTAACTGAGACGCTGATAAAACGCACCTCCCGTTTCAGTCGCTCCTCCACAAACCACATTTGCACGTAGACTTGCCAACGACCCGCTCCAATGTAAAAATATTGGCAGTGGGTAAACAACGCTGGATGATTTGGGGCACGGTCCGGGGCCACTACATGAATAGTCTGAGGTTCGAACCGATCTATTGTCTCGCTCAGATTCTTTTCGTCATCTTCATCGTCCTCATCCTCATCGTCATTTTCATCCTCATCGTCCTCATCCTCCTTTTCCTCTTCCTCATTGATTGCCTCTTCATCCTTGGCAGCATCCACGGTATCGGTTATCTGTGCAGCTTTGTCGCTGGTGGGTTGAACGTGATCTGAAGTGCTATCTGGATGGCTGGTCGGTTTCAGTTCGGAATCCATGTTCAAAGGCGACTTATCGTCGCCAGATTTCCGTCTGATTGTGTGCGCTAATGGACCCGTAGAACTTGTCTTCTGCTCCGACGAGGAACCATGAGGAACAAAGTCAGGTGACTGTATTGCAGAAGCCAGAGAAAACAGTAGTGAATAGAATAAGTGATCACAATTTCGGCAATAATTGAGATAAGCTGGAAAACATTACACAGAGTGAGTGGATAATCTGACAAAGGATGTTTAACTAGTGTACCTTGTTCGTATGTATGCCTAACATAACGGACAAACATAGTTGAAGTCGTAAATACACCGAAAACACCGAACGAAATAGGCCCGCGCTAACGGAAGACCCAGCTGAGATAGAAGTGAATATCTCGTTTACGATATTCAGACAGGATTCAGTTGATTCTCCCCCGAAGATCAGCTTGGCTCACCAATCGCATACAGACTGAGATTCAAGTAGAATATGAGATTGGTGGAAACTGAAGAGCTTCAAGAATGTCTAAACCCTCAGTCGGGTGTTGAAGAGTTTCGAGTAGTGTGTTCTGTCAAGAGAACTTAAGTTTATCGCTTTAATGGGGAGAAGGTTCAAGGGGATTCGACAATGTACACAAGAAAGACAAACATAGCAAAAATGCTATCGTACAATGGCGCTGCTACCCAATAACTACAGGCTCAATGCTGTTTACATTAAGCTTAGACGTGGACTAAGCAATGAACCTCTGCTGTAACTGAGGTCGAAAACAAAATCACCATTGATAGTGCTGTTACAACTATTGCTTGAGTAATCCCCATGAATGATAACGCTGTTCCAGTCGCGTATAAACTACGTGGTGACTTTTCAAAAGGAAGATTAGGAGGAGCTGTCCTGGTTGCTTTCTATCGCACGAACCCGGCTAGGTTTGAAATCTATGCTTCTTAGAGTAGTAGGTGAATAAGTTGGTGCACCGTTGGTGCCGTAAAAATTCTTCCTGCAGTAAGTTCAAGCAAAACAGCGCCCAGATCACCTGTCCAGTTTGTTCCTCTTCAGAAACGTTGACTCAGTTGATAAGATCACGTCCTAAGACCGACTGACCCCAACCTCGGCAATGTGACAAGAGAAAAGCTCTGGGATCGGTGGTACTCCTAGTTCGGATGGACACAACGGTATAAAGCAAAGTACGTGCCCTCGCTGCTTGGAGGAAGCGAAAATTAGGTGTCTTTTCAGAAATAATCTAGATGCTTGACAAACGCGTATCTAGAGAGTAAATACAGGCGCTAAAGTGACGCGCACAGGCCCATCGTTTTGGTTTCAGAATAACTGCTCGTAAATGGCACCGCCAGTCGAGGGAAACAATTCTTGCGTGTTTCTCATTTTGCGGATAATCAGTTGATAATGCACACGTTTGAGACATCACAACGGTTCGCCAGGTGAAAATTGAAATTTCCCGGGAACTAAAATAGATCATATATCTTCGCAAGATACGGGGACTATGGACAAACTGGCGCCATGGCTGAAAGATTTAATTTTTTGTGGTAACTGAATCGCAATGAAACGGCGTGCGTTGGTGAAAATACCGCACCCATCAAGTTATGAAACCAACACTAAGTTACGGTAATATGCTGTTCATGCTACGGCTGACAAAAAACCTATCTGCGCTGCGTCGCTGCTAGTTCATTAATATTTCAGTGACGTAACCAGTGGTTCTGGAACTTTTGATATTGGGCAAGTAGGTCGATAAAATTCTAACATGCGTAATTTCGCAATTCAGACTGCAAACGACTCAGTGTGCACACGAACCGAACCATAAACATGCGTGAGTATGGGGGACCATATTCGATAGGCCCAGTATAGAAATATACGCAAGGTCCGGTCACTCTGAAGATTTGGCTCAATTAGTATCAGGACACTCGGTTAAGAGTTGCCTCAGCGATTACTTGCTGGGTGAGTATTAAGAAACCACACATCACTGCTACATTAGAGTAAAATAAGACTAAGTTATTGAAGTCAAGCAAGAACATCGCAAATCTACCACGAATTACATACAGGCAGATCGAGCTAGTCAACTCTCAAGAATAAAATTATAAGATATGGGTGACTGGCACACCACGCGCCTTTCATTCGAGTACTAATAGGCTATTCATACGAACAACGCCGAAATGCTTCACATGGAAGACAAGCCATATAAGGCGACCTTAATATCAAATTCATCAGAAATCGAGCCCGTACATCGATTTTACATAGGACGTACGATTAAATTACCAAACAGTGAACGAAAATATCGTACGGCCAGTCAATCACCTTTATTTCACTCGTGAAAACAAAAACATGGCGTAGTGCTATTCCAGACCAAACAAAAAGTACCATGGGATCAGCAAGAACTGGAGTTTGAGCTGAACGGATACAGCTATTGCTTTCATATTTGATCACTGCTCATGGGTGAGTTCACGGTTCACCCATATAGGGGGTAAAAGCGAAGTCAACACATCAGCACAGTTCACAGATGACAAGCATTCCAACTATGAAAATAAGCCGTTAGAAACGATCCTTCCTGATTGAATTCGAGCATAAGAGAGTGTCTTCCTCATTCGCTCAGAAAATATAAGGGAATCTCATACACATAAAAACGAACGAAAAGACGCCCTGGGAATAAACTCAAACTGTTGACCTCCGGCTTATCGGGCGTATGCTCTAGCACCTTAGCGAACTAGAACGAGCGCTGTTCCTCACGTTAGTGCACCCGTACTTCACAGCTGATTAGTCACGCGTCCACCGAAAGAAATTACACCAATGTTTTTGGGCATCAGGATGACATCGTCATCCGACTCAGAAGAGGCTCACCAATGGTACTGACACCTCATTAGACAGAGGTATGGTAAATCAACCTGCCCTGTCTCTGTCTCAGTCCTGTTGACTTTACGTTGCGCTTGACTGTACGAAAACTAGTAGCTGAGCTCTACATTATTGGAAGTGTAGCACAGTGGACGTTGTCTATATTGACCCTCCTGCATTACTGTACAGGAATGCTCTAAAACCGCGTTTCCGCTCATCCTACGTTACAACTAGCAATATTAACGCCGTGTTGGTCCAGCGAAGGGAAGGGTTAATGGGCGAGACGAGACTCTCCGTGCTATATATGTATAACTCGTCAGATGCCGAAATGCAGATACCCTTAACGACATCGCAGTCTTGGAAATTACCAGGCATAAGTCACTTGCTTCTTCAAAACCGGACTGGAGACTTCGAGGAAACCAACTGAACACAATACGCTAATAATGTACTGAACGGCCTTTCTAAGCATCCAGTACCAAGCGGAGTTAATATACTGACCACAACGGACCACAGACTGTGAACACCCGAAGCAAACAGAGTTGACAGAAATAACCACAAACTGGAAGAAGGCCCATTTAACGAGGGATCATAGATGAGACTTTTAAAATCGGTCTGTCAACAACGTTCAGACTAGTTGAGTAGTTGTTTTGTTCTATACTAAAAGCTGACATGACCTAGGAATACGAGGTTATTTCGATAATGCTTCAAATACTCAAGAAAGCTGATGAGGTGATCGACAATAATGGCAGTATCAATAATATTTAATATCGTAGACAGGGACTTCTATCCGCATAAAATGCGTATTCGCTTGTCTCACAATGTATCGTGAAGAATACTAGTTGGGCTCTCACGGGTCACGTCTGAAAGAAAGACATGTTGACAGAGAATCTCCGAGTTTCACACAACAATAACAGTCTTACAGGACGGCTCCTGGGTTGTACGTGGTTATGCGAGGTGACCGTCACAATACATCCTCAAGCAACAAATAAGGTATATAAAACTTATCGCGGATAGTACGTCTCAACCCCCCCCCCCAAGAAACCAACCTACCCGGCTATACCTTGGTAGAAATGGATGCATTGACCAGTAGCTAACCTCACTGTTCCTGAGTCCATCTGAAATAACAAAAGTGTTGAGTCGCCTAGTAGTGACCAGCGTACTTCCAGGACGCTGTTATGTGTATTGTGGTAGTATGTGCGGTAGTACATATGGGACCATGGGAAGAATGAACTAGCTGTACGGGGAAACGGGATCCGCATACAATAAGACTCATCACTGACCGTCGATCCACCGCCTTCCGGGGCCAAGTTGCCAGTACCTGTGTTGGGAAGAAACAGAGGTGATAAGAGGTAAGGCAGAAACTACGGCACTAAAAAGTTCCGACGAAATACACGTCAAGCAAAGTGTTCGCAAATGATTGAAACTGTTAGTAAAAACGGTTGAGGGCGGGCGTCCATTATATAAACAGTTTAACGGCATCACCAGAATCACTTAAAAGGTTAGCATAAATTAACCGACACTGCGACTAGCATGTCTTTAACTTTGGTAAACAATGGAAAGCGAGTAAAGCGGGAATTGGAACAAACGGAAAAACAACTGTGAAATGATGCATGCCGAAGTCAGTGACACAAAATGAACGAAACTTGTAGCTCTAAAGCAGATAGGTCAAAAATAACTGCAGAAGACAACGCCATCCTTGGTCACGTCAGCAATCTTGGGGAGCCAGGACAAGTGTGTCACCGAGTGAAGCCTGAAACATCCGATGGCGTTGCTAAACGTCATTACATGAGTTGCCAAGACAGTTCCGGGTCACAGGAAAGAAAAAGCTGCGTACAGAATATAGTAATAGCAGAAGTATCTTTAGTGGTAAAACGACAAGCCTCCAAGATATCATTAAGCCAATTGCAAGGTGTCCTTTGAATCCGGCTGGAGCAATGGAGTACCGTACGAATCAGCACCATATTGATATACCCAACACATCCTCAGGTCTCTACCGATTATTAACTGACGAGTGGGGTGATCGAAACCGGTTGTTCAAACCGAGATCTACAATATAGTGCGCTAATATCTGAGCCACTGAAGTCGGGAAATTTATCATGTACCGGAAAGTTCCGAAGTTACAGGAAGCAACCCACAACAAAACACGGCGCGGACAACGTCCACGTAAGGACATCCTAAACGAGAGATTTAGCCGGGTTCCAGGTGGCTTCCCCGTCAAAATCAAATTGGTATGCAAATGAGTGTGTATGTCGAAACAATCCACTTTCCCAAATCAGCAAGATGAAATGACCAGTCGTCATCATCATCATCATTGTCAGCTGTAAGAACCGCGTACTCGTCGTACAGTGGTTGTAGCTGCCGCAGTTTCGTTCACCGATGATTTGGGGGGGGG